AATGCAAAATGAGAGTGAGCACTCATGGGCAAAATTAAAATCTTAATTTTTAATGCATCATGAAACGCATCTGTGACTGTCAGTGATTTAAGATACTAGAGATCTAAGAGAGCCCATAAAATTTCAAAAATGTTTACTTGTTATTTGGTAAAAAAAAAAAAAACACAAAAAAAAACAGCTGCATGGAGAGGACTAGAGCAATGAGGACCCAGCAACTAGTTCGTTGTGCAGGTATCTGACCCATAAATTAAAAAAAAAAAAAAATCCTTGAACAAGCAATTTCCAAGGTCACTAACTTTCAATTTCCATTTTTGTTTGTGACCAAGAAATGCATCTCTTAGGAGCACAAGTTAGTTGGGATACGAGAGTCAGGAGACCAGAGGGCACTTGAAATGGCAAAGAATCAGTTAGGGGCTTGCAAAGGCTTTGCCTGTGAGCCGACTCTCTGGCTGCATTTGTGAATAAAAACCCAGACATACCTCCTTGCTTAAGTTTATTCCTAGATATTTTATTTTACTTTTTTGTTGCAATGGTAAATGGGATTCTTTTTTTTTTTAGTTTCCCTTTCTGAGTGTTTATTATTGGTGTCCAAGAATGCCATTGATTTCTTGATGTTAATTGAGTGTCATGTTATTTTGCCAAATTCATTTATTAGATCTGGTAGATTTTTTATGGAGTCTTTAGGGTGTTCTGTATACAATATCATGTCATCTGTGAATAATGATAGTTTCACTTCCTCCTTTCCAATTTGGATCCCTTTTATTTTTTCTTCTTGTCTAGTTGCTGTGGCTAAGACTTCCAGTACTATGTTAAATAAGAATGGTGATAGTGGGCATACCTGTCTTGTTCCTGTTCTTAAGGGAAATGCTTTTAGTTTTTGCCCATTGAGTATGATGTTAGCAGTAGGTTTTTTATATATAGCCTTTATTATGTTGATATAATCCCTCTGTTCCCCCTTTACTGAGCGTTTTTATCAGAAATGGGTATTGGATTTTGTCAAATGTTTTTTCAGTGTCTATTGATATGATCATATAGTTTTTATATTTTATTTTGTTTATGTGGGGTATCACATTTATTTATTTGTGAATATTGTACCAGCTTTACACCCCTGGGATGAATCCCACACGGTCATGGTGAATACTTTTTAAAAAATATTACTGGATTAGATTTGCTAATATTTTGTTGAGTATTTTGGCATCTATGTTCATCAGGGATATTGGCCTGTAGTTTTCTTTCTTCATAGTATCTTTATCTGGTTTTAAAATTAGGATTATGCTAGCCTCATAAAAAGAGTTTGGAAGTCCTCCTTCCTCTTGAATTTTTTGGAATAGTTTGAGGAGAATGGGTGTTAGTTCTTCTTTAAATGTTTAGTAAAACTCCCTGTGAAGCCATCTGGGCTTGGACTTTTCTCAAAAAATTAAAAATGGAATTTCCATTTGACCCAGTGATACCACTTCTTGGAATATATCGTAAGAAGCCTGAGACACCAATCAGGAAGAATGTATGCACGCCTATGTTCATAGCAGCACTATTTACAATAGCTAGGATCTGGAAACAGCCCAAGTGCCCATCAGTAGATGAGTGGGTAAAAAAGCTGACGTACATACATACAATGGAACACTATGCAGCTGTAAGAAAGAGAGATCTCTTACCCCTTGAGATGACAAGGAGGAACCTTGAGAGCATTATGCTAAACAAAATAAGCCAGTCAGCGAAAGGCAAGTACTATATGATCTCACTTATTTGTGGAGCATAATTAACAAAATAAACTGTAGACCAGAACAGATCCAGAATCATGGAAGTAGGGAACAGACTGACAACCTCAGAGGAATGGGGCGTGGGAGGGGTGGGGAGAGATAAACCAAAGAACTTATATGCATATATGCACAACCAATTGGCACAGACAGTAGGTTGGGGAAAGCAGTAGGGGGGTGGGAGCTTAAAAGAGGGGGGTCAATGGGGAAAAAGGGGGGCATTTGTATTACTTTTTTTTTTAAAGCAGACATAAAGGGAAAAAGAGAGCCTACAAATTTCTGCTTTCCTTCTGACCTCCCTTGCAGAGGGTGACATATTCAGAAAACCATGGTGTAGCTTTTTTCCTGGGGCCACTACAGAGAAAGAAAAGAAAAGCATGGTGCAGTCAACCTTCAAACGCAGCCAGATATGGAATTGATTAACACTGGTTGAAAGTTCTGTGCTCCTTGCAGCTTCCAGGTTCTCCTGAAATAGATTTTTAGCTATAACCACATGCGGGGTGTTTTCAAAGGTGGCCTGCTACAGTCAAATGTGAGAAAGTTTTTGTGCATTATGATTTATTTTGCTATGGGGAAATGGTAGCTCAGTTTTGTGCTTCTTATTAAAAGTCAAAGGTCTTCTATTTTCTTTGCTCTCCCTACTCTTTTATTGTTTGTTTGTGTTTTTGAAAGCTGAAATTAGGGCCAAGGCCTCTAGGATGTCCACCCCTTTCAAATGTCGGTGGATCGGCTTGGACACAGGAGGTGGTTTTCTACTTCTCATTATACCCACAGTGAGAGAAACTGCACATGGAGAATTTGAATTACATGCTGAGAGTTCTGATGTTCTGAGTTTTCTTGACTTACTGCCTTCAAACATGTTCTTAAAATAAATGGCAATTTCCTCTTGGAACTGTCCATAAACCAACACATATGTTAGTAATATCTGAGCAGTCGGATGCTTCACTGATTGTAACTCTACACATTTGCACATGCTTCCTAAGGTCACATTCCTTTAATCTATTGTATCCTCCATTTAATTTTGGCTTCTTTATCTAGAGGTCACCTAACATCTCACTGAGCAGCTCCTCCCCTTCTGTGGCCATGACCCAGAGAGCTGAAAGCCAGGGCCCTGGGAGACCGTGTGACTTCTTGAAAGGGAAACCTAATGTTTCTTTTTGCCTCAAAAGTGGAAAAAAACGAAGAAGCGTGAAGACTCTTTAGTTCCATGGGCTATTCGTTTATGTGAAAATTTAGAGAACTTAGAGCATTTGCCTGATTGGTTCTTGACCTTCCGGAGGCTTCTTCTGCCAGGACCTATCAGCTCTCTCTCCTGGGAAGTAAGCATGCCTCCCGTTTCTACTTGAGAGGCTGACTTCTGACTCTACCATCTGTTACTTTTTCTGCACATTCACACAGTTTCTGTACTTATTCCCACTATACCAAATCCATGGGGGTCCCGTCCTCTCGTCCTTCCACTACCATCATGTTTGTCTCGCTTGGACCGTCTCTCTTCAGTTCTTGCAGTCTAGATTCTCCTGCTGGTATTTGCTCTATCAGCAATTCCTGCTGGTGGCCTCACTTCCCCTGTCTGTGGAGACCGGGGCCCCACGCCCAAGGCACAGAGAACGCCTCAAATCTCAGGGGCTCCAATGTCCAGGGGGCATGAGCCACCAAACCCTGAAGACCATCATCCACATCCACTCTTACTCGGATGGTACTCTCTTGTCTCTGGAGTTCTGTGGGATTTTCTTAGTTCCTTGTAAATAAAGTTCAACTTTCTGTCACCTTTTTCTCTTCTTTTTACCTCTGTGACCTCCGTTGCTTCTCTCTTGCCATTTCTACTTTCCATTGTTTTCTAGAACATCAGTCAATGCTCCACACACCTCATCTTATTGACTCCCTTCAGTTTTTTACTTTTCATCACTGTGACTGTTCCCCAAGCCCTCACAATCCCTATGGAGTTTTCTTGGTTTGATGAAGAAACTGTTGAACCTTGTCAGTATTTGCTGTCAGGAAATTATGCTCCCTAAATTACTTTTCCTGGTTTCTGGAAACCAACTGCCATTGGCCCCTGTTTTCCACGCACAGATAGGGCGGGCTGTCCTGCACATCCTGGACTGTGTCCACTTCCCGGTATTCATCTCGGTTGGAAACCTCTGTGACGGAAGCACTCTTTGTAATGCCCTTTGCATAGTGCCCTTCAGAATTATCTGTTTATTGAGTGTGATGACATTAAAGGTAACTGACAGCCTCGTAAATAGGACCCTCTGCCTCCTGTTTCTAAAGGCAGATGGCATGGGTGGGAGAAAGACAGAAACATCTTACATTCTAGTCTACTCTAGAAGCCAAATTTGTGCTTAATGGGTGGACTATGGCACTTAAATAGTCATTCAAAGTGCTTGGTGTGTCTCACTAAAGTTGGCTATGTTCAGAGTAGCACCTTCCTCCCTCTGGGCTGCAACCTGTAGAACACCGGGCTGTTTCTCGGTTTTGTTTGTTTCCCTCATTTCACTTGTACTATCAAAGAATGACTCACATACCATTTACGAAGCCCTTGTTTATTTGGCTAAAAATCAGCAATATGAATGTAGATGTAGAAGAACAGAAATATGTTCAGTCATAAAAATAGGACTAGTACTTGTAAATAGTAATTCAGCTCTTTTTAGATAACCAGTAGTCTAGAGCTAAGGTTGGCCATTATTCTGGAAGTCTGCAAATAAATTTTAAAATGCAATAACCCGAGCAGTATATGGCATGAAGCTTAATGCTAAAACGAGGCTTTAACTTTTCTTTAACTTATTATATTAATAGGATTATGAGCCTTACTTGATTCATGGATGAAAACTGAAATCCAAATACACTTTTGCTGACTTTGTATTCATAGCCTGCTTTATCTTTCAATGTTTATGTTTAGAAGATGAATCCCTGACCTAGGTATTTTTTGTGTGTTCTCATTTTTGGGTGTCTATTTGAAGGGTTTTGTTTTGTTTGTTTCTCCTCTAATTGGCTGCACAGGAAGATCCATTCCGCATTGTGAGTTTAGCATTTTCTTCACCGCCTCCCATGCATCCCATTGTCTGTGCACACACAGCATGGCCAGCGTCACATCTGCCTTCCGTACTGAGCAACCACTTCAAATACAAAGCCCCTCCACGCCGAGCATGCCCATGCGTTCGACATCTGGTGCAGGGGCGGAGCCTGGAAGGTCTGGGGCCTCACATTCCACTGAGCACTTTCCTTTTCCTCTTGCTTTCCCCGTTATAGATACTGCAATGAGCACCTGCTGTGCCCCCCACACGTGTTCTGGACAGGCTGGGGTCCTTGGGAACGGTGCACAGCCCAGTGCGGGGGCGGCATTCAAGCTCGCCGCAGGACTTGCGAGAATGGGCCCGACTGCGCGGGCTGCAATGTGGTGAGTAGAGTCCTCCTCCCCAGACCACAACCTAGAACTGGGAGCGCAGAGTCAGCACACGCTAGATGTTTTCATACCCAGTGCCCTGAACACACAAGATACACTGCGAATACTTAGAGCCCCACAAATACGAAGTGCCCCGTGAACAGGACACGTGCAAACATTAGATGCTCTGCGGACACTAGGTTATCTGTGCACACTACATGCACTGTAGATATGCAATGCTCTGTAAACATGACGTGTCCAGGCACTAGATGCTATGTGTACAATAGCTTCTGTGAATCAGATTTCTCTGGTTAAGGAGAATGTTTGCAGGAAATACTGGAATTTTAGAGTATCCTGGAAGCACTTTGAATTCAATATTCTGCCCCAGGAGTTTTTGTGTTTCCATTTCTGAGCTATGACAACTTCAGCCTGCTTAACTCTGGTCCATATATTTGGTTTGGGGACATTGGATGCAGTTGCTATACTGAACCCACACCAAGGTATAGAATGCAGGATGAACCTGAGACACTGGGGAGTGAGAAACTTGATGGGATCATTGTCAGCGCACAAAGGTGCCGATCCAGAGGGAATAAAAGACAACTATGTTTTGTTTTTCTTCTGCTTTAGCAAGTCATGTTTCTTTAAACACTTTAAACCCTCCAGTAAAACTCCACGTGTACGAGCTCCCTCCCAAAAGCTCATTGTTGTTCCTCCTGTGCCGCCTGCCAGGGTGACTTGTACCTCTTTTGCCTTCCCCTGGGGCTGGCACCTCAGAGCGGATGCAGAGACAGTGGGGGAAGTTTGGCATGGGAAGGTCTGGCTGGCATCCTTGTGCACGAATCTTTCCGGTTGCTCTTTGCAGCAGTTTGATCTCTTAGCTGATGAAGCTGTGCGATGCTTTTGTGCTGCTGGAAAGCTTGTTTTTTGTGTGTGAGAAGCAAAAACCACACACCCCAGACCGCCTTGGGAAATTTGGAGAGAAGAAGAGGTTATGAGGTGCTTTGCCAGATATTACTTTGACCCAAGGAGTCCTTTGTTATTGGGATTTCCAATTAGATTTCTTTCCTCTGCACCGGCAGATATTGCAGTAGCTTCAATAGAAGCTGTTACTGATTACAGAGGCACTTCTCTCCAGGTTGGCCCGAACTAAATTTCAACCATGAAAAATCTTAACGTCCAATTGCGATAACATGTTTATTGATATTTCAGACATGAAAGGTAAATCAGTGAACGTTCTCTTGTTCTTGGAAAACAGTTCAAATGTGGTAGCTTTATTCTTTGCTGAAATATATCATTTCCTGTTCCCGGAGGCTTAGAGTCTGAGCCTGGGATCTTCATGCCCCAGATCGGGCTGTCTAGTCAGCTGGGCAGCCTCAGAGGTGAGAACCTGAGTTCATCTTACACTTTAGTTTCTAAAACTTTGCAATATATATATATTATATATGAGAAAACTTGTCAAATCATTCATTTTCTTATTTCAAATTAACTTCAATAATTACATTTACAAACCATTTAATGAAAGGAAAATTATACTAAGGAAATTGTAGCATATTTTTGGTGTAGTCACTGGATTGTATATATGCATGTATGAGATAGACGTGACTATAAAAGTAAAAATTGAATGTCTTCCTAGAATGTTAATGTTATTGCTTTATTTATGTCTAAGTTCACAGAATTGAAGTTTATGAAACAAATATAACAGTTTTCAAATCCAAAGAAATGTCATGTAAATCTTCAGTGAGCCTAATGTCAGTTCTTCAGTATTTTAGTTTGTTTATTTCTATTTCCCATCAACGTTAACCTATTGGCCACGTGCTTCCAGGAGGGTATTGTTGTGGCACAAAGGAGCCATCTACTCTTTTATGGTAGAAGCACAACCTTTATTTTCCTTCCCATGTGGCTTTTCCAGTTTATCCCAATGTCTGTCTCCTCTAAGGCAGGAATGCCAGCCCAAGCTGAGGGAAAGGGATGAGGGAGGGGCTTGGTTTCTTTGGAGTGCTTAGAAAATATGCATTGTCAATTAAATTCCTAAGTGTATTTGAAAATAATAGCTATTTAAAGTAATATGTTGATCTTCATATTCAAACTACACTTTATAAACCTTTGGCCACAAAGTGTGCATGTTTTTAATGGAGGTGTTTTATCAGGATTGTAGCTGTAAGTATAGGTAATGTATTGATTTTAGAATCATGAAGTTGGTTATCTGCCTGCCAATATCTCTCTGGATGACAAGTCAGGTGCTATTTCTGAATTTGTCTCCTCCTCTAAGAAAGGGGTGACAGTCCCTTCTTCCCATAATTGCTGTAAGTGTCCTATTTGGTGAGGGAGTGAGGTTCCAGTGAAGGTCTCACTTTCCAGGCCTTTCACTGAGTTCCCTTCCCACGCTCATTTCTCTCCTTGTTATTCCGGAGCTTTGGCTGCTTCTCTGAGCTCAACCTTATTAAAAATGTCAATGAAGTGTGATGCTAATGAAATATTATTTATACAGTAAGGAACATGTTTGTGGACAGTAAAAGAACTCAAATTTTTTGAGTATTCCAGCAGCTTATAGAGAAAGAGTTGATTTCAAGTTCAAGTATGAAGAATATATAAAAGACTTTTGAATCTTTACTTGCTCTGACATTTTAAAAGAAATTTTACAAAAAGATTTTCCATTTCACCTGTGAAATTCTTATGTCCTGTCTTTGAATATATCTCCAAGCTTTTATTTAGTTCTCCGTAACAGAGGTTCAGTTCAGATGGATAAGGACCCTCATTGAGAGCTAGTAGTATTTTTGTGCGTGTGAAATTCTGCTCTTTAAGCACCAAGCACTGATATCTCCTCAAGATCCTGGTTTTAGTTCTTTTGGGTAACTGTGTAGAAGTGAGCTTGCTGGGTCATAAGGCAGTTCCATTTTTAATGTCTTGAGGAAGATTCATACTGCTTTTCACAGCGGCTGAACTATTTTTCATTGTTGACATCAACAGAAGTTTCAGGGGTGCGGGGAGTTCTATTCTCGAGTAATATAACAATCAGGGCAAATGTCTTTTTTTTTTTTTTTTTTTATCCTCACCCTAGGACATTTTTCGATATTTTGTTCAGATAGAGTGGGAGGGAGGGAGGGGGAGAGAGAGAGAGAAACATTGACATGAAAGGGACACATCGAGTGGTTGCCACCCACACACCCAACCAGGGCCTGAGACAAACTGCAACCAAGATACGTGCCCTTAGCAGGAACCGAACCTGGGTCTCTCCGGACCGCAGGCCAACGCTCTAACCGATGAGCCAAACCGGCCAGGGCAGGGCAAATGTCATTTTATGTTTTGTTATATTTAAAATTATTTTTAAATTAATATTTTATATTAAATATAAATATTACTTTATATTAATTCTACTTGGCATATTTGTGTTTTATTTTTAACTCGTTTTGATAAACTTAATAATTGTTAGATCGTCTTAGATATCCTGACACTGCATAATATCAAATGAAATTAATCTCAGTATACTTTAGTTATTATTTAGGCATGTTATCTTGTGTTGTCATGTTTCAGTTTACATTGAAATCCTGTGTTACATAACAAAATAATTAACTTTTATCGAGCACCTACTGCATGCCACACACTACACTAAGAGTAATTAAAATTTATTTTATTTATTCTTCCTGTACACCTGCTAGGCAGTGAAGATGTTTACATTATTACTTGTATGTGGGGATGGGAAAACACAACGTGAGAAAGATTAATGAACTTGGCCAGTAGCAAGTTGTGGGTGGGCGGCTGGGCCAGCTTTTGAGCTCAGGATCTCTGGACACAAATAGAATTTAATGACAAGACTCCATTTACATAACTTTTTTGCTCATTGTTAAGTAATAAATGATAGGTCTTTATTTTCTTTATTCTTATTTAGTACTAAGTGTTTCTTAAGAGACAGAGGAGCGTTTTTGTCTTTGAATAACCCTTCTCTCGTTCATTAGCACTCTTGAGTTTCATAATGTTGTGGTCATATTCTCTCAGCCAACCATGAGAGTACTATTAAGAGATTATTATGAGCATGAAAAGTAATTGAAGATAAACTCATAGCAAATTTAATTCTATGTTTAGCCTGAAAATTACAACACATGGAAGGAAAAAAGACATATATAATGTTATGTTGTATAAATAGAATTCTGAAGTTAATGTAACTCAACATTTTCTCAAAGGCTTAGCTGACGTGTGAAAGAATAGAGCTAAAGACAGTGTTAGATACAGCAAAGGTCATTCCAAAACAGAAACAGACTCAGTGTTGTCAGCCCCATATGTATGACTGAAACATCACACACAATGGAATCCCGCTGACCAAAAGCTATGATATACAGTATCAACAGGGACCATAGAAGAGATTCCTGCAAAGAAACCAGACCACTGAGGGTCCAGAAAGGTCAAGGAGAAAGACAGTAAAGTCAAAACATGTTGTCAAAGGAATTCTGTGGAGGTTAATCAGAGTTGATACAACATACTAAAAATTGTTTGTGTCACTGTGGATAAACTTAGGAGCAAGTAAAACCTGGCAATTGGTAGTTTAAATAGATCAGGATGTATGAAGATATGGACAGTATTACAAAATACCTTATTTTTGTGTGAGACATTGGAAATTGCAAAATATTTTAGAAATGTCATCTCATATATTCCTGATTTTTCCAAATAAAAAAATCAGGGCTCAGAGAAAACTAGTTACATACATAAAACCTTGTAGCTGGCAGAGTAATATCCCACATCCAGGTCTTCTCCCCCTCGGGACCTTAAAGGTCCAGGATATGTAGCTTCCTAGAAAACACTGGGCAAGACTGTGAGACTGACCAGCAGGATCTAGTATCCCACACCCACAAAGCTAGATGGAGTCAAAGGCAGTTATCTCTGGCAACCCCTTTGTTCTTATTAGCCCTAAAATATCTTTAAAGAAATCATAGCTTCTTGCAATGGCACCTACTTCTGTTCAGACGGAGCAGAATGGCACCTCCTTTCTGCATAAAATATAGAGGAAATGTAAACTGAGAAGT